TATTTTCTGTTGTTGTTGGATGAAAACGAACGTGATGCGCACTAATCACCGCTCGTGTTAATCATGCCGTGTTAATTCGATGCAACGCACTTAAAAGGATTAACGAACCTCGTGTATGTCCTGTGTAATGCCACTTCTCCGAGAAACAGAGACACATTAATCACTTCCCGTGCGCGTGTGGTCAATACGGTCTTTATCTGGTCTCCTGGCGCTTGGTTTGAGACTCCAGTTTCCTGTTTCTGGCCTGTGGATGGCAAAATATGTCGCTGGATCGCGTTGGGCATTCGAATTGTTTGCTATCTCTGGTCGAGCCAGGTGTCAAAGATGCAGCGAACCGCACTCTGGGAAGCAATCAATCGAAAGGATGGAATGCCAATTAAGTTCGAGATCCGTCTCTCAAAGCAGCCCCAACCTTCGACCCATCTGCAACATAACGTAGTCGCAGTCGTAGTCGAAATGGGTCGGTATTGGAGCGGCACTTGGCCTCAGTTCGGGTCGGTGTGTTTGGAAGTGTGAGAGGCAATGGGAACCTACCTACCGCATTGTCATTGGTCAGAAAGGTTTCAAAGAGGTTCCCGTCCACTCGATACTTTGGACAAAATAGTTGAAGAAAATGTTTAAAATCCCTCCTTCCATTCCATTCAATTCCTGTGGCAAATGATTTTCTCTCCACTGAAACTATTTCCAAATTGCGCATACGCACTGTTGGACTCAAGACATCTATGCGCTTGGGTCTGTCTTCTGCTTTCTGCCTTCAGTTACTGTTACTGGTACCGGTACCACTCCCTCCCACAAATTGTGATCTAATTGTGGTGCTCTCTACACCAGGGGATAAGGGAACGCTAATGACCACAGAGAGAGAGAGAGAGAGAGAGGGGGAAGAGCATGTGTGAATCCAAGGCAAATTGAAAGCAGGACTGGCAATTGTGATTCGCTAATTGCCACTCTGCGATTGCGATTTATTGTGCATCACTTTGCCTTCGCGATTGCCAACGAACCTTTAAGCGTTTCGGATTTTTACCGGAATTTTTCGGAAACGGAAGCGAAAGCGGAAACAGACTGAAAGCTGGAGTCGCAGACGATGTCAATAGCGATGGGGGATGCTGTTGACAAAATGTTCACAGTTGACAAAATGGTATCCTGGCTGTGCGATATGGGTGCGGATTGAGTGGGGAAGCCAGCCTTTGTCTCGTTCTTAAATGCCTCCACAGTTGTGGGTAATTTATGAATTTTATTCCATTTCAAATGCACTTTGATGTCTCTGATACATATAGCTTTTTTTCTGTTCTTTGGGCATTAAACGACGGAGACACCTACGAGTATCTGTACATAAACAAAGCCCAGGCAGAGGCATTGACCGGGCCTATTAACCTGCCACTGCCTCTGTTGCTGTTTCCGTATCCGTTTCCGGATGCTCAAAGAATCTTCGAACGACTGGCTGTTGTAAGGTGAAAATGACTGGCTTTAATGAATGTCAGGCGCACATAATAGCGGAAGGATGAGGACTGGAGGTGCACGCAGACACGTCTTGAGAGCCTTGCAAAGTGTCGACAAGTGGGTAATGATATCGTACACACAGTCTACCATAAAAGAGTGGCCAAAAGGTGTGCTGAATACATATTCATACACGCCTCTGACTGAATCCCGTAGAGACCAGACTGCAGGCAACAATTGCTCTGAGCCTTGCAGCCCCCACCTTATCTGAGCAATTGGGTGCTGTCATTGCACACAACTGGCCGACGCACTTATCCTTGCTGTTGCCGTTACTGTACCATGAAGCCTGCAGACGGTTCGGTTCAGGTGTAAAAGTTCTCAAATTTCGTCGTAAACTTTGCTCTCTTCCCATGCAGCGGGCAGAGGCTAGGCCTGGGTCAGTCAGGCTGGAATGCACGGGGCCCAGAATGACATTATGAACGACACACGTGTTTCGCCTGCAGTGGCCGCACATGTTCTCAAGACAAATGCTCTGGCCCTTAAGCTAGGCGACCCGATTGCTCTCACCACTAATTTGTTGAAAGGACATTTGAGTGAGGCTACAAAAGACGGGGGCAATCAAAATCTTCTGAACTTTTACAAAAGAATTTCCCTAAAAGGCCTTTGCATACGAGTGTACTCGGAAGAGTGCCATATAGTACTCGTACTCCTACGTACCTATGTTTACTTTTGGAATGACGACATCTAATTCTATTGTTTACGTATCATGCTGTTGATGTTGCTTTTGCTTTTGCCGCAGGACACAAATAAAACAAGCGGGGCAGAAAAGTACAGCTGTACGGAACAATTCAACTCAGGGAATCCTTCATCGTAGGCCACCATATGGCTAAAAAGGGAAGAAGGGACTGTTGCTGCTTGGTCTGAATAGTACCAGAATAATTAAATCAAAAATGTTTTTTCCAATTTAGCATGCGCCCCCTCCGCCACCATTCCAAAGCCCAAATGAACAGCAGGCTCTTTTCTTTTCATTCTGTACTTTCCATTAGTTTCCAAATAGTTTCCCAAAGTTGACGTTTCCAAGTTTCCCTCCCGAAAAACGCCCCCCAACCAGAATGTCATGAACTTTGTTCCGTCACGGCCGACCCCCACCTTTGGTCCGTGTCGTTCTAATGGTCTTTGCGATTGCTTCGATTGCTTGCTAATCATTCGCATGTTGGTTAACATTTTAACGTCTGTTATTACATGCGGCGCGTGCCACTGCCTGGTCTGTGCCTGTGCCTGTGTCTGTGTCTGTGCTGTGCCTGGCCTGTGGGATGGAAAACTGAGACGCATGGCCGCAGTTAAGAGAGATTTTTATCACACAGCTTAGTGCGGGCGGGACTGGCTGTGGAGGGATGGAGGACCTGCGATGGATGGATGGGGATGGCTGGTTGGCAGGTTGGCAGGATGGCAGGATGGCAGGATGGCTATCTCCCTCACGCAGTTCCCGTTGGCGCGAAATTCAACGACAAATGTCTTTCATTTACGCGTAATAAAAACGAAATCTCCGTTGAACAATGGCCGCCGGGCGGCTTTTGCTTTTGCGGCCTGGTGGCTGGTGGCTGGTGGCCAACGCGTCGCAGCAGCCCCCGCAGCTTGTGCTCTTTAATACCCCGTAACTTGTTGTTCTTCTTGGTTCCTGCCCTCGCAGTGCCCACCATATACTTTGTGGCCGCCTCGAGTGTATTTTACGTTATTTTGTATTTAATTTACAGCCACGTTGGTGTTGGCGTTGGTGTTGGTGTTGGCATTTTGGTGTTGGTGTTGCCTTTCCTGGCGAAGCGAGGTTCCCCTAGAGATTCGCTTTAGCGAAGAGCACGTGACCTGCCCGTGAGGGTCGTGACGGTACGTAACCTCATGCCGAAGGCCGTTGGAGTGCTGTTTTCACACACTCTCTCTCTCGATGGAAAACTGGTGCTGGTGACCTGGTGCTGCACTTAATGGCATAAAAGTATAAGGCATACATGTTGATTACAGAAAGAAAAGCGCTTAAATATGCATGAGTCGAACCCGGCAGCGCATAGAATTTAAACGTAGCATAGAATTGGGCCGAGAGGATGGGGATGGGATTCTCAAATGGAACTTCTGCCTCAGCCTTAGCCTTAGCCTGAGGCTTTTCCTGAGAAAGACGTTGGCTCTTTCGTGTTCCTTTCAATCCTGTGGCCTGCGGATGGCGCACCGGAATGGGGAATGCGGCCTGCGGAATGGAATGGGTAGGGGGCCGCTCTCAACCATCGAAACAGCGACCCACCCACCGATGAAACATTCGCAGATAGCTCCAATTGAGCTTAATTTGTCGTCGGTAATCTGGGACCTCTCCACCTATGGATGTGTATCTGTTTCTGTATTTGAATGTGAATGGGAATCATTTGAATTCATCATTCATTCGGCAGTAGAGTGCTGGAGACATCTGGCAAAGGATAGCACATTCCACATGGTACATGGCACATGGCACATGGCACATGGCACATGGCACATGGCACATGGCACTTAAAGTTTTCAATGCTCCATGAATGCCAATTTGTGTGTGCCTCTGACGAAGTTTAATTAGGAAATTAAGTGCACGGCAAGCGGTCCTCTTCAGGTTTCGAGTTACTTGTACTCTGCCATTTACAGATACACCAGATACAGGCGCACCTGGAAGACGGGCTTAATGGCAGGAGAGGCAGGGACCACCCTTTACCTTACTTTGTTCGGTAAGGATTCTCGATTTTCAATATTTGGTTAGAGTAACAGTCCAGTCTAATGAATATTGAGGCAGCCATTGATTGTAATCGCTGGCAATGGCAATGGCAATGGCAGTGGCAGTCCATGTCGAGGGACGCCGACTGTTTTTCTGTCAGGCATCATGTCGCAACAACTTGCCACACGCAGACACACATCCACACCCATCTGTATGCAACAAAAACAAAAAGATGCCACCTCCCCCACCCCACCCCGCATCCTCTGCACCGGCAGCAGCGGCAGCAGCAGTAGCAGTAGCAGCAGCAGCAGAAGGCGGAACAAAATGGTGCATTAAACGGTCCACAAAGAGCTGCGGTTGCATTCCGCATCCACCAAGCCCATCACGGGCCCGACACAGTGGCGGCCGGGAAGCATTTAGCAGATTTGCATGCACAAACACGCGCCACGTCTGCCGGTGGATGGCCTGCAGAGGATGCGGATGCGGATGCGTGGGGATATATTCGAGTACGGGTATATGCACTTACAAAACATTTATGTATACAAAAAGACGTCTATTTGATTAGGCAGTGAGCAATTCCGGACCGCAACTGCGGCTCGATGGAATGCAAAGGATATGGAATAGAAGAAGGGAGCGGGGAGCGGGGAGCAGAGAGCATAGAGCATTGTGCAGGGGATACCTTAGCGAATAGCGCATTCAGTTATCGAATTGAATTGAGCAAAACAAATAGTACGAGTATTATTCATATTCATTCGATATAGTTGCCTCTGCTTTCAGAATCTGTAACGTTTTCGGGCCGTTGGGATTCCTACATTTGCCTCTAGTTTTGGAATACGGCAAGATCGAAATATATTCTAAATTGCTCACTCTCTCTCAGAACGCGGTGCGTAAGATTCAATTGAGTCGAATTTTTCGTAGTAATGAAAGTTCTGCTCTAGTTCTATGATGGAGTCCGGAATTCAAATAACGCGGGATTCTAAGCACGCCTTCGAAGAAATCTGGAAGAAAAGAACGCATCGCTATGCTGTTTTTTCCGTCCAAGAGAACCGCGAGATCATTGTGGATGCCCTGGGAAAACGCGATGCCAGCTACGATGACTTCTTGGCTGACCTTCAGGGCGAACAGGACGAAGATGGAGCATGTCAGTGCCGCTTCGCGATCTACGACTTCGAATACGAACATCACTTCAAGCCCATGGACTCATCAACCTCCAAGCTGAAGCTCATTCTTGTCCTCTGGTGTCCGGAGCAGGCCAGAATCAGGGATAAGATGATCTACTCCAGTTCGATGTGTTCCATTATTCGGACCTTTATTGGCGTCCAAAAGTACATCCAGGCCAACAACCTGGACGATATCAGTCGTGAAGCTGTCGAGATGCAGCTGCGCGCCATGGATAGGGATTAGGGGTTGGGGACTAGGGATTAGGGATGGACATCCATCAACACTGAACGAGGCGCCACCGATACCAACGACACCAACGCTACGCCACACAATGGGGAGATGGGCAAATAAATTAACAATTGGATATATAAATTCCTACAGTTTCAAATGGCGCTCTTCTTTATCTGGGATCCTCTCGGCTGTCAGGCGTTTTCAAAGTTTCCCCAGTGTCCAGCGACCTCTGCCTCTGCCTCTGCCTCGGGCTCAAGCTCAAGCTTAAGCCCGTTCTCATTCGCGTGTCCGTCTCGGTTTCCGACGCCACAGGCCTTGATTTAATTTTATTTTCCGAGCATCTAATGAGCCCATTTGGCATATGGATGCCTCTTGACGCTTCCCAAGGATCCAAGCAGCCAAGCAGCCAAGCAGTCAAGCAGCCAAGTATCATCTGTAATTTGTTTTGTCCTCTCACTTCCTCTGCTCATTATCTGCGAGCTGTGTCGAGCTGGCTAAAAATACTTTGGCTTAGTTCGCGAGCGAGGGCAAAGTTTTGGCATTCAGACTTTTTTATCTCGCCCATAAATCACGACCAAGTTGGATAACGCCAACACCCACCCACCCGCCACCAACCTGCCGCAGCTTTCCATATCATTTGGCAGAAGACTGAAATTAATCAAATTGACGAGGAGCACGTCATCTTCAACATCAATTGCGACGGACTCCACGATCCGGCCCCGCATATGGATTTCTGTAGCTCTTGTCGCAATGGAATGGAGTTGAAAGTGCAGTCCACTTGGAAATGAAAATATTCGTATGTGTGCACTTGTATGCTTGTGTGCGCCACGTTGTGGCGCCACATCGATTGACCTTCTGCCTCTGGGCAGAGGGGTAGGGATGCAGCTGCCGTCGGCGTCGTAATATTATTGTTGGCCAAAAACCCAGTTGTCGCCTGGCAACGTCACGAATACGGAATATTCATCATACATACTCGTGGAAGAAAATAAAACGCAGAAAGTAACAACGACAGAAGCTGATAACATTTTAACCATACGACAGGTAGTGGGAGAGGGACTGCGAGAAGGGCAGAGACAAGGTCGAAGAGGACGAAAGAGGAACAAATGGAGAAAATTGAGGAGAAGCGAGCCGGAACACAGTTCCCCAAATGATGCGAGCGAAACGCAAATGAAGGATAAAAAGCCTCAAAGAGATGCAGCCATAAATTCGGGCATCCTTTTGGGCGGCTCCTCACTCCTCACTCCTCACTCGCCCACGTCCAGACCCGCGACGATACGGTTCCATCCTTACAAAGAGTAGAGTAGAGTAGAAATCAAAGCAAACTAAACCGAAAGGAAAAAGCAAACAAAACTAAAACTAAAGTCGAAACAGAAACAAAAATCCACGCAAATCTAGTGGAAAATTAAATGTTCGCCAGGGGACGGACGGTAAGAAGAAAACTGACAGACAGCAAGGACCGACCGCAGCAGAACGCGAAGAAACGGAAAACTCAGCTGCGGAAATAGTTTTGCCTGAGATGGATTTCGGATGGATGGAGTTTTTAAAGTGTTTTGCCCATCATCATCGCCAACCGTCTCCGACCAGCGACTACCGACTACCGACTACCGACTGTCTGCCTCTGTCTGCAGAGTGATAGGTGTGACGGTTAGGTGTGGGCTGCGGAAATGAGTTTACCCCTGACCCTGAACGGAAATGAAGCTTCAAGTCTGCGAAGCGGTGCCCGCTTGCTTGCAAATCGGTGATGGTTTTACGTGCCGTGCCCTTCAAAGTCCTTTGGTCGCTTCGGACTCGACCTAGCGGCGGTTCGCTTCTGCTTGCATCATATCCGCCGCTACTCGAACATCGTGTTGACAAGTAATTAGCCGATAGCCTTGCTCCACCAGCACCAGCAGCAGCAGCAGCAGCAGCAGCACCAGGACCCAAGCGAAGTCGATTAAACTCTTAATGCGTCTGTCAATGCGTAAAAGTTTTGCGTTTTCATTTTCTATTCGCGTCGAGAGAACGATCCAAGCAGCCAGCAGACCTTACTGCTCCCCCCTGCTGCTACACCCCGTATAATTTGCGGCACGGCACGCTTGCCCAAGCATTGCCGTGTAAGCGGCTTAGACGATGGCCAAAGCCGAGGCAGCTGTCGCCTGCCGGATGCCTCAAAAGTCGCGGCGCTTTCCAGTGGGCGTCTGGTCTGAAGATGGTTGAGGAGGGGTGGAGCTATGTTCCATTTAATTATGCTTGTTGTGCTTATGAAATTGAATTCATTAAGCCGAGCCGAGCCGAGCCGAGTCGAGTCGAATCGCTGGTGGTTCTGGTTGCCACTCTTTGGACTTTGCCGTACAGTCGATCGATCCGGAATCTCTCTCAATGGCCCATCCTCCTGTCTCTATCTCTGTCTCTGTCCTGTACGGCACTGTCTGCACTGTGCTTCCGTACCGTTCCGTTACTATTTTGTTGACACGAGATGCGACGGAGCGTGTCCAGTCGATGTGGGATGTGGGCGCGCAGGTAGCGTGTCTAATATGGCAGCAGCTCCATATGTCGCCGGCACAGAAGCATCACCAAATAGTGACGGGCCAAATAGTGAAGCCAATAGAGCCCCACGGAGACAGACAGACAGGCGTTCTTCGACCCATAAATATAGTAGATATACCCGCACGCTCAAATAAATAGCAACTTCTTTGTTTCTGTGGCTGTTTTTGTTTGTGTTCGAGTTCGCAAGGGTGCGATTTGGATGTTGCAGGTTGCAGGGCTCCATAGCTGATGACGTGGCGCTTTCCTGCTGCCCCGCCAAGGACCAACGCGAGTGCCAGAATATGGCGGGGTAAACAAGCTTATGCCATTCCGTTGTAGGTTTGTGTACTTCGCTGGATTATCAGTACGGCCCCAGCCGCCGCCATCGGAGCTTATCTGATGCAATGCACTCAGGCACGAGGCACTCAGGAGAGACGTCGCGACGGAGCATCATGGACACAGATCCCAGAGTTATGCAGGACTACGCCGATCCCAGAACTACGCACTTTCCATTTTCGTATGCAAGCAAGGGCTATCCAGACTATCACCTGGGTCAGTTACACTCAGAGAAACAAAAAAAAATTCCATTAAATATTTAATCTAAATATAAAACACTTTCAAATAAATAAATATATTTCGTCTGAATATTTATTTTAATTGTGGGCAATTCTTTGGAGATATCCATCGAGATCGAATAATTAACGACAAATTTAGCATACATTTCCATATATGTGTTTTTTCCAAGTATTGTTTTCTAAATTGATTGAAACCCAACTAATTTAATCAACCAAAAAAGACGTAAAAAGTTAAGTTTAGGATATTTGAATAGGTTTTCAGATCAATGTTCATTAGAGATATCATTTAATGAACATTGATTTGAAAACCTATTCAAATATTCTAAACTTAACTTTTTACGGCTTTTTTTGTATTTTTTATAGTCACACTTTCCTTCAATATTTCCTCCCAGAAGATAGGTAATTTTTGCTAAAACTTCTTCCTCAAAATCTGTCTAGCATATTGAACTATCTGAAAAAAGTCCCAGAAAATTTGCCAATATCTGTTAACGGTATATTTTATAACTTTTAAAAGCCCGTGCGACAGAGGTTTGAAGTTAATTTTTACAAAAAGTACAAGTCATATTTGTGTCAATTCACAACACTTATCAGAAATTCGCCGGAGCCGCAGAGATGAGGAAGAGGAGGAGACAGTGGAACAGCTGTTGTGCTCCTGTTCAGCTCTCAGCAGAAAAAAGGCTTCAACACTTGGGCTCACCCTTCATGACTGACATATCGGAAATGTCTACAATATGTTCCAGAAGGAGAGCAAACTTCAAAGGGGGCAGCCGGAGGAACAACATGCTGACATCGCGTCTCACAATGTAGAAGAGGGAAGAAGAGAAGATCCCAAGCGGTACCACAACGGGCCGAAACCGGCCTAAAAGTGACGGGCTCTCAGCGAGCCTGACAGCCGCCTTTACCCAACCTCAGTCACTTTTTCGACTTTGACTTTATGAAACTCATAACTCTTGTTTGTGATCTCTGACTGGGACATGCCGATGCAGACAGATGCCGATCCGATCGGAGCTCAAATGGACAGCTCAGATGTCCAGCGAAGCGAGCGGCTGACTTTTGGAGAGACTGGAGACAGTACCATGGCCTGGCCTGCCTATCAGGTTTGTGGCAGAAACGAGTATGCTAAGTGTATGCAAAATATTTGCGGCATGACAGGCAGATGCGAATTGTTTCCTTTTCAACATGATGCATAGCATACTTAGGGGCTGCTGTGTGCTGTTAAGGCCTGGTACAAAGCACACACGTCCAAATGTACATATGTTAAAGTGGCAACAGTGAAAACACTAAGAATTTCAGCAGTAGGGGGATACTGGGGTGCTCATGGTCTGCCAACTGCCAGACTCGGGATGTCCAAGTCCAGACACACCCTAGTACTGACTCGGACGGGCAGGAGCCGCTCTGAGATTAATTTGAATTGCAAAGCGAGACCAGAGCAGACCAGAGCAGAGCAGAGAAACCGCACAGAAAAACGTAACAAAAACCGAACACCAAAACCCACGCCCACGCCCAAACAGAATCCGAATCCGAAGTTTCTATCCTTTTCCCACCCTCAGTTTGCCATATGGCAGATGTGTGGGCAGCCATCGCAAAAAGTTCATTTATGTTTGAAAATTGGCATTTATATGGCTTGACGCTTAAATATTTAATATGCTGCCCAAATTCGAAATTTGAAATTGAGTATCCACTCTCCTCCCAGTCTCTCACATGCAAGCAGAGATGCTCGAACGGGCCAAAGGGTCCCTGAACCACATCCACATTCACGTTCACATCCACATCGGTATTCGGGGCCACGGCTCGTGGGTCAGCAAACTGTCTGTGAACGCAAATAGGACCGTGCCGGCCATGGCCATGTGGCGCCCCCAGGGGTCTGCCGATGCCGATGCCAATGCCGCTGCCACTGCCAATGCCACTGCCACTAGGGAAACATAAGCCGACCGCAGGCCCAATTGGGCAGAAATTGTGATTGCTTAGTATTTAGATTTTTGGCTCGAACAACAACAAAAAAACAATAAACAGAGATGTCATACGCGCAACGACCTCAGGGACCGGACCAAAGCGAGGCGGTAGCGCTCCTCAGAGG